GACATAACCTTGACTGGAGATCCTCTCCGCCCTGAAGCAGAGAGTTTGACCAGCACAGCTGGAGACGAATCTCCAACTGCAGGATATCTACCAACCGTTCCATGCAGTCAAATGTGGCACAAGGCCGAATTTAATGCAGTGAATCCGTGCCCGTAATCTCGGCCAAAAATTCCCCGTATACCTCGTATAAAACGGTGTCGGGTAGCTGTTTCCCGAGACGAGAATCTGCCCTTTGACATAGCCTCGTCTGAGGACCCTATCTGCCCGGAGAATCTCCAACTGTAGACCAACATACAGTATTTTCTACTGTATTTATGTGAATGGGGACATACCCATTATCGTCCGTAGGTATGCTACAACACGTATCTTACCTAAAGCTATTTCCGCGTAATTGAATATAACGAAAACGACTGGAATTAGGAAGGAACTCGGTTCTCCAATTTCCAATTCCAAGCTGTTATCCATTGCACCACCTGCACATCCAAGCGTACGGCACCAAGTATTTCTAAACATTAACCATCATCGGTATTAACGAGGCTCAACGTTGCTTAACTTCAGTAGTCATACTAGAACCAGTGTTTCAGTGTGATATTGACGTTAGCCCTTAAAGGTAGAAATTTAAATGATTTCATTTTTATATAGATAAAATTTTTCAATATTTTGTTTTAAATATTTGCTACATATGTAAAGTTTTGATTTTCCAATGTATATAACGGATTGTTGAAACTTGACTAATGCATGGAATAATAATGCAACACAAAATGTACTTAGAACAAAATGTATTGAAACAAGAAAGTGTACACAATATTTACATATAGTCTTTTGTATATTCCTGGTTAGACCGTTCCTGGAGAATGTGTTGACTGGGTCGCAGTCGGACAGAGTCTCTGGTTGAATCTCTTGATTCCTTCCTCTCTTCCCGGTACCAACCATATTTATATGGTCGGTACTCCACTATGCAAATTAGGTGGATCCTACCACAACACGGATGTAACAGCAAAATTGTCCAAATCGTGTAATAGAATAATTATCTACCCCACAAAATGTTTCATATCTAAATAAATAAAAAAAAACACTAAACTAATTGAGTTCCTTTTTCCAGGTTTTCAGATAAGAACCATTTTTCGTAAGAATCACACCATTTTTCGTAAGAATCACTGAAAAACCCTTTGAGTTATTCAGCTAGAAAGGGAACAGGTTAAAATCATTTTGTGTCAGCTCCACTGTCTTCCCAAATGAGCAATGGTGGAAGGAAAAAGATCATTCAGGCCTTCAGTAATGGTACCAACATTCATACACTGGCTTCAACTTAGAGCTAAAGATATCACTTAGAAAAGAACCAACTCAACCCATAAGACGTTTGGTACGTGAGAGAGTTTCAGCTATGACAGTCCAAAGAGCAGTGAAAAAAATACTTGAAAATGAAATCGTACCTGAAACGCGTGAGGCACCTTGTTACTCCAGGACAGAATGTTAGAAGGTTAGAAAGGGTGAAGATCATCTTGAATAAGTTGGAAAATGATCCTGGAATAATATATATATATATATATATATATATATATATATATATATATATATTTGAAATTTCTTTCAATAGTTCATCACCTTCCGATCCTTAGCTACAATGATGAACATGTCATTTTCATTTATGATCGATTTCATCACGATTCGTCTGTTAAGGTGGGAGAGTAATTATACATTCTTATTGCCCATAGTAGAGTCGAACAAGACAACTTTAATCGCACCTAAGTTAGAAAGGTTCAGAGCTTAATGCAACAATTGGACAATTTTCCTGTTACACGATTTGGACAATTTTCCTGTTACACCGGTATATGTATACATATACATTTATCTAAAGTATGTGTATATAGATTTCAAAGCTATATAGAAGGTGCGGGAAAACTAGCACCATTATTTTTATTTCTTAACTTTTATTGAACAAAAATAAATTACAGTAGTTTAACAAAATTTATAAGTATTGTCGTGATTTGTTACGATTAACTATTTAACTATTTATAGTTTCAGAAAATTTCTCAGAAATTGTTTGTTTTTAATACGGTAATTGTTTACGGTTCGAGTCTGTAAACAAGATCTTTCGGTATACGCTACAAGAAAAATATATATATAAAGTTCATCTCTTTTAAAAATTGTAAAATGTTTCTTGGTTGGACATTGTCAAATCGCCGTTCTGTAATATTTCTAACGGACAAGTTTAAGAGCAGCGTATTCTGTCAGTAGATACTAATATAAACACGAGACTACCATGTTTTCTCATGAATAAAATTATTGCGTATTGAGTGGGCGTGTGGCTTTTAGGTTTTCTTCGAATGTGGATTCTACCTACCTATTATAAACTGCGACCAAGGCGAGCCATCTAGTTAGCGGGGGCGGAGGGTTATCGACTCTGGTCTAACCTGGAGAGGGATGGGCTACACCAGGTTAAAACTCCCAAAACACGTCACATTATGGGCACACCAAGAAACCATTCGCGAAAACAGAGGCTCTAGGATACGACCACAAAAATTGCAGAGAACACGGTGGACAACTCATCACATCTGAGCCCCAACGGCGGCTGTTGCTGCTGCTGCTGCTGCTGCTGCTGAAGAAGAAGAAGAAGAAGAAGATTATTATTATTATTATTATTATTTTTAACTATTTGTGTCTTTATTGATAAATTATCTTTTCTGTCTGGCTTGGATGTTTTTGCTCCCTTGCTCATTTAGAACGTAGGTGATCATGGTCCTCCTCAACTTAATTTTCTTTAATATCTGTGAATCGCCATATCTGTTCTTGGGAAATGTAATGGGTTGAATATTATACTGGATTCCACTCGAGGTTAGAAAGCTTAATCTACCAAACCAGTAAGAAATTACTTCTTTTAATTCAGGAATTGTTTTCGATTGTCTTGTATATAACCAACAGTTTAGATGTTTCTGAATCGATTTGAAGGCATACATCGCATCCATATCAAAGTCTGAATCTGAGGAGACGAATATGACGAATTGAGTTTTCAGGTTATTATTTTGGTTTTTCAGCAACTTGTGGTGTTAGGCGAAACTACCCCAATCATAACTTATTCTATATTTAATTTCCTTACCTCCTATACTAGATTTGTTGCAAATTAACTTCCCTCCATATGCCCTCAGCCTAACGACTATACTCCTGATATTAACACAAATGGAGATAGAGGATGCACATGCACCTGTAACCAATCTTAGTCACCCACTCCCCCAATGGGCCTTTCAGTCCTCATGTATATGAGTGAGTTTGTCTTGATGCCCCAGGTCTCTGGTTGGCACGATGTTTCTGGCTCAAGGAGTTCTGTTGCCCTGACCTTTAGGCGGACGAGACACATATACTCGGAATATCGGGCCTGAATATTTCCTCAGTTATTTGTACCCATCTACCTCGAGTGAGATTTGTACAGGATGAACCTTGCTGTAAAAAAAAATGATCCATACCCTGAGGTATTTCAAGTGTTTCGTATTTACTAATTCTACATCCTGTAGTTTTACGATGCATTCAGGGTACGTACCATCTCTTGAATTCCTATTACTTTCTCTATGGTTTTGAATTCAGAGTTGTCCTGCTTCCAGACTGGCTGCCACCCAAGGCTAGAAAGTCAATTCTAAACCAGCGGGAGAAGAGTTGGCGCGAAATTATGCAAAAGCAGATGTTGAGAATACCATGAACGGAACATGTGAGCAACAAGGAAGTTTGATGAAGTTTGAATGTACATAAAAGCAGAAAGAGATTGTCGAGTATTCTGGTGCGGAAAAAGGGTTTAGAGAATTTGACAACCACAGGACTTATTGTAGACGAGCGGGACAACGGAAAAAACAACGAGCTTGTGTAAATGTATGGCAGAACAATAAATAGGAGGAACAGTAAGGGGACAAACATCACTTAAAAGGAAAGGAAGTTGTGTAGATCCATGGTCACCCACGTTCTGAAGGGTATGTTTCTGGTTGTTCAACGGTAGGAGCTCCTTCTCTTAATCAGTTATCGTGCGTGTGTTTATGCGTGGGGATCTTAAAACATATAGACCAATCAATGCATTATTTCACTAGTTAGTGTACTATCCAGTACAGAATTCGATCAGAGACGGCAAAGCTAGTTAGTCTGGTTAATCATAGATACTGAGTTCGATGCTCACTTAGATCCCCCTCCCCATGACTTATGGTGTTATGTCAAAACTAAGCTAAATTTATTAAATAACATAAGAGGGAAGGAAAGAAAAGGAGTAGAAAGAAAGAAAGAAAGAAAGAAAGAAAGAAAACAAGCAAGCAAGCAAGCAAGCAAGCAAAACAGGTAGAATAAACCCAAAGGAAATAGTTTAAAAATAATAAATGAAGGAAGGAAGGAGTGAGTGATTGATTGAATTTGTTTTTACGACTTATCAGACTTTTTCATGTTATTTAAAGTCAGGAAATATTTTTAGATTGTCTGTTTTGGAGATAATAATTTAGCTGATACACGTCCTACTAATTTGCAGCTGTGGGGAGCGGACTCATATCTTTCTTTTCTCAAGGGTATTTGCGCGTAATTGAATATAAGGAAAAAAGGTCGAATATAATAAAATAGAAATAAAGTATTCAGAAAGAAAAAAGGAAAAACGAACGTTAGAAATACAAAGGAAAGAAGGAAGGAAGTTAATAAGGATTTAAAGAAGGAAGCAAGAAAGGAAGGAACATGTGTAATAAAGACGAAAAGGAAACAGTAAAGAATATAAAATCAAAATAAACTGCTCAGAAAGAGAAAAAAAAGAGGAACAGACATTAGAAATACAAAGGAAAGAAAAAAGGAAGGACAGTCTTAATAAAAAAGAAAATGAAACAGTAATGAATATCAGAAAATAAAAAAAAAACTGTTCACAAAGATAAAAAGAAAAACGAACATTAGAAATACACGGGAAGGAAGGAAGGAAGGAAGGAAGGAAGGAACAGATGTAATATAAACCAAAGGGGAACAGTAAAGAATATAAAATTAAAATAAACTGCTCAAAAGAAAGAAAGAAAGAAAGAAAGAAAAGAAAGAAAGAAAGAAAGAAAGAAAGAAAGAAAGAAAGAAAGAAGGAAGGAACAGGTGTAATAAAAACCAAAAGGAAACAAGAAAGAAAGAAAGAAAGAAAGAAAGAAAGAAAGAAAGAAAGAAAGAAAGAACGGGTGTAATAAAAAAAACAAAAGAAAGAAAGAAAGAAAGAAAGAAAGAAAGAAAGAAAGAAAGAAAGAAAGAAAGAAAGAACTGGTGTAATAAGAACCAAAAGGAAACAGTAAAGAAAGAAACAAGAAAAGAAAGAAAGAAAGAAAGAAAGAAAGAAATAAAGAAAGAAAGAAAGAAAGAAAGAAAGAAAGAAGAATCAAACAAACAAAGTAAGAAACAAACAAAAATAAAAAGACGAATTTTAAAGGAAAAAAACTCTTTGTGAAATTCTATCGGAAAGAATACGGCTGTTTGTGCAGGTTTTCTTGAGACAAGTACACGGAAAATGCATTTTAATTAATTGACATTAATTATATTGTCTTCTAATGGCCAACTGAGACTGGATCGTATAAGTGAATAAAATGAGTTCAAAAATCGAAAGCAAACTTTAAAACCATTAGTTTTGGAGATTGAGTCAACAGTTTTAATTTGATAGAAATAAGCAATAAAGAAAACACAAGCTCCAAGTGGCACAATGCATTGTACAAATTATGCATTGATTGGTCTTTTATAGGATTAAAGAACGACACACATAAACTCACTGATTAAGAGGAACAGTTCTTACTGTGGAGCATTGAACGACATACGCTTCAGGACGTGGGCGATCAAGGTTCTCCACAACTTCCTATGCTTTGTAGCTCTAAGCAATGTTTGTCTCCATACTATCATTCTCACGCCCTGTTCTGCCAACCATTTACAGCTCATTAGGTAGGTGTTAGATACCATGTCTATAAACACTAATGGGTATACCCCAATACTCATAAATACGATGTAAGTGGAGGTAATATACTCTCTAAGTAGTCCACTACTAGCAGTGGTTTACCTACTTCATGCCGCTAGCGAGTAATGTATTTCGTTGATGTTTATAATATTACCATTTCATTTCAACCTCTGTTTTGGTTAATTCTCATTCAGTAACCCTTTCTAGGTTACAATAGTGGGTTACTTGTTTTCCCCTGTGCCTTCAGGAAGTGGACGATCATAGCTCTCCACAATTTCCTATCCTTTGCTATTCTAAGCAATGTTTGTGTCCATACTATCCTTCTCACACCCTGTTCTGCCATCCATTTACATAGCTCATTAGGTAGGTTATTTGTTTTCCCCTGCGCCTTCAGAACGTGGACAATCATGGCTCTCCACAACTTCCTATCCAGTTTAGCTCTAAGTAATATGTGTCTCATTAATGTCACTCCTAGTTTCTGTTCTGCCATCCATTTACACAACTCGTTATGTAGGTAACTTGTTTCACTCTGTCTCTTCAGGATATGGACGATCATTGCTCTCCACAACTTCCTATCCTTATTAGCTCTAAGCAATGTTTGTCTCCTTACCATCCTTCTCAGCCTCTGTTCTGCCATCCATTTACACAACTCATTACTTGTTTCGCTCTGTCCCTTTAGGACGTGGGCGATCATGGCTCTCCACAACTACCTATCCCTGTACTATCCCTCCTACTTCCTGTCCATCCATTCATTTAGACAAGTTCGGTAAGTAGGTTACCCACTGTTTCCCTCTTGATTTCAGGATGTGCTGTGAGGGTCAAATTCTCCAAACCCTCCTTATTCATTATGTGTCCCAGAAATTTCAACTGGGGTAGGAATCAACCTATTTTCCATGGATTAACGGATTTTCTATGGATTAATCAATAGGACTTATATCAGTAAATCATTATTATATCTAAAAATTTCTTATAATCTTACTATATAAGACACTGGAATTTGAATACAGATCACCAGAGAGAAAACACGGGCAATCCCATTTTGAATAAGTAGATCACGCGATGATAAAGGAAATGTATATATGGGAATTATCGTGGCCTCTAAGTGATCACTCTCCGGGTTACTTCAGAAGTATGCTTGTCAAACTTTTTCCCTCCGGGCAGAGAGGAACCCAGACGCGGCTATGTCAAATAGTATAGTGTCGTCTGGGGAGGTAGACAGCTACCGACGTTTTTTACGGGAGTCTAGGGAATTTTTGACCGAGCCTACGGGCTCGGATACGCCACTATCAAATTGGCCTTGTGCCGCATCCGGCCGCGTGGGGCGGTTAGTGAATATCTCACTCTACGGATTACTTCGGAAGTGTGCTTGTCAAACTCTCTGCCTCCGGGCAGAGAGAATCCCCAGACGAGGCTGTGTCGACGAAGGGCAGAGTCTCGTCTCGAGAGACATCTACCCAACACCGTTTTTACAGGGTCTACAGGGAATTTTTGACCGAGCCTACAGGCTCGGATACTCCATAATAAACTTGGCTTTGTGACGCATCCGACCGCGTGGGGCGGTTAGTGAATATCTCACTATAAGGATTACTATTCGGTTGTTACTTTTCGAGCGAGTATTATCCAGCAAGTGTTATTCGAAGGCGTCTGACACCAATATAGTTCAACGGCGTTACTATAGTTGTATCTGTGATTACAAAGTCTCTACTAGAACGAGCATTACGAAAATAACAACGAGTAATTCATTAACATTACATAAGTGGCAACGAGTGTATGTTGACATCACAAAAATCTACAAATATTTTCTAGTTTTAAATAACCTAAAAAATGTTGATAAGTCGTTCTGATTCTTCCTGAATATATTATTTTTATATTTTATTTCAACTTCTGCGAAATTGTGTGTGCATATGTGATAGTATGTACAAACACACGTAAGTCACACACGCAAAATATAGACATACGCATGCGCAGATTCAAACACACACATATATATATATATATATATATATATATATATATATATATATACATATATATATATGCACATTTCATTGAATATGAGAGACAAGGTGCTTTTTGATTTAGTTTTTATGCAATTTCTCATGTGAACTTATTTATTTTCTTTTCGGTAGATAAATTATATAAAAACTGTCCAATTGTTCATTTTTTCCGAGCGCTATCTGCTATACATTTAGCCATTTTCAAGGTTGAAATATATTAACTGTTAACAAGAAATAGATTGTTGCATGTATGTATTTATATAATGTTTTCATTTTCAAAACACGGTCAAGATATTAATAAAAACAAAATAAACGACACTCATTATTATCAACTATGAAAATAGACACAATATCTTGACGAAAAAGCAAGAAAAAATTGTAAGATCACATGAGAAATTGTATAAAAAACTAAATCAAAGCACCTTATATATGTATATACGTTAATGCGAAGTCACACGCAGTTTTTGACGAACAGAGAATCAGTTCTTCTTTTATAAAGTAGATTAATTTTATACTCTCTAAACTCCCACCTGAACCAAGTTTGGCAAAAGGTCAGGTTAATGTAGCAGCCAATGAGAATCGAATGGCTTAACATTGGATAATTCTTTCTCTCAAGAATGTTAGCGCAGAACGAAATAAAGCCTCAACTAGAATTTGAATTGTTTTTTCGTTTGAGTGTTTGTGATCTTTAGGCCAACCGACCGGCCATCTTCTTTATTATTGGTTTTTTTTTTATCTGACTGTTACGGGAAGGGGAAGATAGGAAAACTATAATGGCAACTATTAGCATTTGAACCGAAAGTCAGCGCAGAGAGAAAGAAATGATAACGAATTCTTACTTGTAGCCGGCGTAATCATACGGTGGCAATCGTTTGTGTCAAATTACAACAAAAAAAAAACATGTTGCCTACAACTGTCTCTTCCCGATGTTAAGTGCATGTTTCTTTATTTCTTTATTGTTGCACACATGTTCAGTTCGTATCATCCTCGGCATCTTTCTGTAGAAACGCATTTCTGTTGCTTAACATTGCCGAAATCGAGAAGAAATATTTTAAAATGTAGGAGAATGTTAAGGAATCAGATATTTTCAAAATAAATTGCATAAAAAACATCAACTGGAATACTTTAGAATAACAGAGATGTACGACAACGAAAAGGAAAAGAATAAAAAGAATGGGAAAAAAAAGCGTGCTAAAGAGAAAGACAAAAAAAAAGAGAGAAGTGGTGATAGAGACAGAGAAAAAACGAAAGTGTGAAAACAGAGAGAAAAGAGTCGGAGTGAGAGAGTGTAGAGTAGGAGATAGAGAAGGTGATAGAGAAGTAGATAGAGAGGAAGGAAGAGAGGAATATAGTGAGGGGAAGGGGAGACCAACACACAAACAGAAAATGGTATAGAGGAAGAGAGAGTGGGGAAGAAAGAGTGGAAATGGAGAGAGTGGAAAAGAGAGAATATGTATTTCCCTCTCTCTGTCTCTCTTCGTCTCTTGCTTCTCTCTGTATAACTGCCACTCTTTCCTCATCTCGACCATCTTCCTCTCTCCCTCTCTCTCTCTCCTCTGTATTTGAGAAGAAAAGAGGATAGCTCTCTCCCTTTCTCTATATGCCTGTTTCTCCACCCTTTTCTCCTCTCTCGCCTTCTCTGTATGAAAAGAGAAAAGAGGAGAGGGGATGAGAGAGGCAGGCATACAGATGGAGGGAGAGAATGAGAAGGAAGCGAAAAAGGAGTGAATGAAGGCTGAGAGAAAGAAAGAGACAGAAGGCGAAAGAGAATGGAGATAGAATAGAGGGAAAACGAGGGCGTGGAAGAAGAGTAGAGAGTGTGGAGATGAGCTCTTATTCTCTCTCGCATGAAAGGAGAAAAGAGAAAAGAAGGGATAAGGGAGACAGGCATACAGACGGGGTTAAAGGAACGAAGAGAAGAGTGAGTGAGAGCTAAGAAAGAAACAGAAAGCTAAAGAAAAATGAGAGAAGAGAGAAAAGAGGAGGGGTGAGGAAGAAGTGTAGAGTATGGAGATGAGAGAAAAAGTGTGTGAGAAAGAGAGGATCAAAATAAAGGTGCGGAGAGAGAGAGAAGATAGGAGATAGTGCGCGTGAGTGAGACAGGCAGAGAAGAAAGCGAGGGAGACAAAAGATGATAGTTCGAGAAAACAAAGAGTGAGTTTTTTTGTTTTTTTGAAGAAAAAAGTTTGGGTCAAATAGTGAGACAGATTCGGATGAAACAAAGAATTCTAAAGAATTTCGTCTCCCCCCTCTCCCCACACTTATTTTCTCCACTTATTTTTCATTAATCTATTCATTGATACTGAATCGACCTTTTCAAAATAATGCTACTTTCACCTGCTCCGTTTTTTTTTTCCATTCCTGTCTCTTGGCCTGCTTCTGATACCTTCACCAAAGGCAGCTTCATTGTTGCAAGCAAATACTTTGTATGACCTTCAGGTTATCTGTCAAAGGCCTCTACTTGGTACAATCAATATTTAAAAAGAATAAATACGCCTATATCTCAAAACCGCGACTCTTGCCACATTCAGTACTTGCATTAGGTTGGTAAGAAAGTCCTGTCGCATTTAAAAACGGAAAAGAAACAAATTCTTCCGTCTAAATTCATTTATATACGCAAGACAATAATAATTCCCCTGAATTATCGATAGCATATTCTTCTTTATTTGGCAAATTATTGATACCACTGGCGTAAAAATCCTTCAGGTTTTGATGCAAAAAACACTCAATATTAATTAATAAAGTTTTCCCTCTAAAAACATTGCAATGATCTTAAAGGATGATAGTTAGATGGAGCTAAGTACGGAGAGTAAGGATGACGAGACAAAAAAATTTCCTTCAGGCAATGTTTGGTCTTATATTGATGTATAAGAGAAACACGCTTTTAGGATTGATTAATGATGAACGTTTTTTTTTCTGTAAATTTTTGTGCAATTTTTCCAATTGAAGACCAACACTTAATTGTTAATTGTTTCGTTCTGATTCGACACTTAATTATATACAACACTGTTTATATCCCACCAAAATTAGACCATAATTTTTTTTTAAATTTTAAATGACCACGCTCAAACGGAAAGCTGATCATTTAAAATTTTCATTTATCTGTTTTGGATAAGACTTGTTTTTATGTCCATCGTTTTCGTCGTGTTATATTGATTATGTTAATTGTATTTTTAATGAATATTGTCCTGAAGAAGGTTATTAAACCGAAACGTCAGACGTCGACATTTCATTCATATTAAAACAACATAACCGCCTTTTAAGGATTTTTGTTTTGTTTTTCCAGATATTTTTTCATATATATATATATAAATACAGTGTAACCCGGATATATGATAGTTGTCGGGACCGGAGAAGAAGTCTCTTATATCCGGGTTTGGTCTGTTTTGTTTAGGTAAGTATGGGCTCTAATTTGGGACCAGAGAAAATCTCTCTTATATCTGGGTTTCTCTTATATCCGGGTCTCTTATATCCGGGTTACACTGTATATATATATATATAAATATATATATAACCCATATATATATATATATATATATAAATATATATATAAATATATGCAAATAACCCATATATATTCAGATTTGTTCTTCAATGTACAAGTTGTCCACAAAGAATTGACATCATTTAAAATGGGAACATCTGAGTAACTACACGTCATAGACAAACGGAAATAAATAGGTTTCATGTCGAACAATAAAAGATTTATTTATCAAAATTCGCAAACGATATTCAAAAGGATGTAGATTTTATAACTGGATTCATAAAGCTTCACAAATTCGCAGCACCTGCGACAGGACAAATGTCAAGTCGGTAGTCCAGCTCCTGCCAAACACGCCGTAGCACTTTTTGCGTAACAATCTCCAGTGCATTTGTTGTGTCATGTCCAAATCTGCTTTCCAGTTGGTGCATTTTTTTTAATTTTGTAAAAAATGTAAACTGCACACTCTTGTTTAATTGCGTTCGAACATATTTTGACACAAAATGCCTTTTCATTTCTACTGAACGCTATTCTTCACCCTAAAAAAAAAGAAAAAAATTTAAAATTTGATATCATTTGAGCGAAAATTGGCTACTACAAATTTATGTCAATTTTTGGAGGACACCATATATATATATATATATATATGTGTGTGTGTGTGTGTGTGTGTGTGTGTGTGTGTGTGTGTGTGTGTGTGTGTGTGTTATATGTTCTGCAAAAACTCCGAATAGTTTTAGAGACAGGTGTGAATTATGCATAGAAGAAAAAATTAAAATTAAAGTGATAAAATGCAATAATTAAAGACAACTATTGAATCAGATTTTTTTTAAGCATTTAACCCCAAGAAAGGTGTGGATTGCCACTAGTTTACAGTGGGGTACATAGAGTGAAGGTGAGAAAAAAACTGTGTATAGGGGTAATGAGGAAAGGATAAAAGATGAACGGTGTTCATAACATCAGAAGATTCATTTAAATTTTTGAAATTGTAGTTATCAGGAAGCAAGTAAACGGAAAGGGAATTCCACAGGCAGGAAGTACGAGAAAAGAAGCTGTTAGAGTAGAAGTGGTGGTTACATTTAACTATTTCAACGTTAAAAGGGTGGGACCTAGATCCCAGTCTATGTAGCCAAGGCACCAGGGAAAAAAGCTCGACGTAATAGTAGCCATAGAAATATTTCTAGAAAAGACAGAAGGAAGCTACATTATGCCTGTGAGAAAGTGACTGGAGTCTAGATGCCAAGTCAGGATCGATTATATGGCATTTCCTTCTTTATATTTTGTCGAGAACCTCGAGATGAACAGCTGGGGCACCATACCAGATATGGCAAGAGTACTCAATGCACGGACGGATTTGTAAATGTGCAAGATGGAACTGACGAGAAAAACCTTCTGACACGACATATTGAGACAGCTTTCCTTGCAGTAGATGCAGCTATTGATTCAATGTAGTTGTTCCATTTCAAGTCATCTGAAAGTGTAAGGCCATCAAGACACAGAGAGACACTTTCCTGGAGTTTAGCATCAACCATTCTGATAGCAAACAGGGAATTATCTCTATGGTGGTTAAGTGAAAGCAGTTTCGTTTTCGATAGAATTTTTTTTTTAAATTCTTTTAAAACAATTTCTTTCGTGAAAATAAATTTTTCCACTAGTTGTTATTGCTCTTTTCAGTGTTGATGGGGGCTTCCTTTTTATACCTTTTTATTAGAAGTGTGCAATATTAGCAATCAAGATGACATAATCATTATTATCTCTACGAGTTACATGTGCTATCCATTTTTATTTGCGGCTGTTGGTAGTCTTCAATTGACATGGTTTCTGTTATTTGGCACAGTAAATGAAATTGCTTCTATAAGAAGCTTAACTTACCCGTTGCATCTTTCTGGCATAAGAAATTAGCCTGAATTGTGTTCGTTGTTTAAATCCAATATTAGTGAAAAGTAAATAAATAAATCTTTTCAATATGGCGCAGGAAATTGAAGCTTAAATTCTCTAACCTTAATCTCATAACATTTACCCTGAATCACAAACATTCCTGTGAAAAAGATGTGTATTTAGTAAACAATAGAAACTCTTCAACGAGTCGTTAGTACAAACGACACAGAAAACATTTTCACAGGCATACACACTGAAACGGAGCTAAGCATGCGCACAAAATTATGACGTTGAATAGCAAGTTTTAATGAACGTCCACTATTCTTGACTTGTTTTCTTAAGAATCGATTTGAGAAAAACTTTCAAAAGCAAGAGAAATAAAATGAAGCTCGAGAAAAAACACATTGAAAATCTTTATTCAAAGGCCTGCAAAACTGGTTTGCTTTTCAATAAAAGAGTGTGGATGACGACAGCGGATGTTGGGGAAGCAAAGTGTTTCCTGTCAAATTTTCCATTATTCGTCGCCTGCAGAATGAAAGGAAGTTGGATTGTGAAATAAAAACTGGGGGTGGAGAATGCTTGTGTGTTTCACGGTAGGGAAGAATCCTTTAAAAAAAAAAGTTTACAAAAGTGATAGCTAAAAATAAAAATGTCTTGTATGGTTTTGTTTATGCTTTAAAAAAAAGTTGTTTTCGTTTCTTTCAAGGAAAAATGTGGAATTAAAAAAAATCTAATGGCTCTTTTGAATTCTTTTATATTTTGTGAAAATCGATCCAAAAGAAAGCAATAGCAGTTTTAAGAATTTTTAATATCAAATATGGATTTTGCAGGAATCAACATACCAAAAGTAATTGAAGGGATTTTATTTTAACCTTCGATCAACTGACTAGAGTAGTGGTTCTTAACCATTTTTTTTAATCACGGGACCCTTTAGTTACGGACCCCTTGAGTCACGGACCCCTATAAGAACTAACCTTTCAGAGATAGATCGACTGACAAGCGGATACTCATAGTCTGATTGTTTTTATATTTGTATGTGCATTTCTTCATACTGCAACCTCATAGACACGTGCATCACTTTTCAACCAGCCACATTTGAAAGAAATTATGGTTAATTACTCCTCACCAGTATATGAGAAGATAATCAAGTCGTGATAAACCGTGGAAAACGTGAATTATTAGTTGCTCTTATGGAGTTGCAAAAGATGGCGGTCGTGGAGAGAATGATAACATGTTTAAATAGCAATCATGAACCCAACTGCAAGTCAAAGACACGCCTAGCGGTCGGCACTGTAAGTAGTGACTGGGTGCGTTTTCTTTTAAGCTGTGGTAGGATGCACTTTATTTTATTTCTTTCAATTGGAAAACCGTTGATTGGGAAAAGGCTTGTATAGCGAATATAAATGTTAATTTTTATTCGATCTTCACACACTCTAAAACCCATCCACAGACACCAACAGGGTCCATGGTGCCCAAATTAAGAAACACTGAACTAGAAGCCAAAACCTAACAAAGACTAAGCTGTCTAATATATATATATATATATATATATATGTGTGTGTGTGTGTGTGTGTGTGTGTGTGTGTGTGTGTGTG